TATGTATATGTACAAAATGTGATACAATTTGATGAATATTTACAGCTACGGCTTCAATACCGTAGACGATTTTGGCCCGATCGTCAACAAAACATCACCTGTATCCAGGGCAAGCGACTGGAAATAGACACCGGTGTTCTGTCGAACCGGTGGAAACAAAACGTCACTCCCAGAATAACTACGCAAAATAACGATCTAAACTCGAACCATTCGAGCCACAATATTAACATAAAAATGACTTTCGTTGCATTTGACAATGATAAACTTACCGAAAAGCCGTGTTATTCTCGGTCGCTAATTATAACGTTGGTATAATCCGCCATTTTATTTGAGTGTGTTTGCTACCTGACTCTGCCCGGTGACGTCATCATGTGCGCTATAGAAGGAGGTCTGTGATTCGTTGACTAAAATCGCCGATAGTGGGTCTCGTTGAAATCTCGTTACATAGGCATCGGATCAGATGTATGTAGGGCGGAATTAAAAAAAAAACACGAAATCAAAATCAAAGTAAAATGATAATAAAATAAAAAGGCATTAATAACAAAAGTAATAAAAAATAAAATTAAAATAAGTTTATAGCCAAAATAATTAAAGCCCGTACACTAAATCAGATTTTAATCAGATTGATCGCCTTAGTAGCCTGTTTGATTCTCATTTGCGGCCATTTTGGATTTATGCAAATGAAGTATTTATGGAAATTGTGAATTTAACAAACATGCGGCTTAATATTTATTCTGGAGGCCTCAATATTCACTTTGCATAATATACAGCAGTTGAAATTTCCATCTTGATGCAGAGATATCATCATAATAGCATGCGTGATCGTCATTGGCGTCCATTTGGGATTTATGCAAATGATGTATTTATGCAAATGATAATTTTAACAAACACGGGGATTAATATTTATTTTGGGGGCCTCAATATACAATTTGCATATTTTACATCAGTTGAAATTTCCATCTTGATGCGGAGATACATCATAATAGCATGCTCGATCCTCATTGGCAGCCATTTTGGATTTATGCAAATTAGAAAAAATGCTCAAGGGTGCCAACTGGGCACCCATCAGAATCTTGAAGTAGACATACTGTAGAACACATTTCAGCAAAAAAACCTAAGTCATACGCACTTTTACGCTTTTCTGGGTCGGCAACCTATTGCGCTGGTTGTTGTCAGCGACGCTCATTGATGACGACACAGACGCTGTTCTACCATTGTGTCAACACAGGTGGCGATCTGCGTGTCAATGTTCGCTGGTTCCCGGCGTCCTTTGCGAATAAATAAACTTATTTATAAACTACTATTACGTCCTTTGCGAATGGCAGGTAGGACGCAGGTAACTAGTAATCGCCATATTGTTCCATTTGGGCCGGTTTTCAGGCCGGAAGGAACGCGACTGGGTGACGTAATTTGAAAACATTCCAAGTTCCGTTCTGCGTAAACATGTCTATAATACTACAATAAAGCCATGCTCAAACATACTGCCTGCTTAGATTTACACATTTGAGATGTTTCTGACACTCTTCGCTGTTTCTGTGAAAATTTATAACAAAAGAAACAGTTTTTTATTCACCCAACCTTCGAAAGTAAAAGGAAACCCCTGAACGGCCACGAGCGTAAGCGCTGCCGTCAGGTATCCAAGGGAAATAGAACAAGCAACGAGAAAGTGATGTACCAATCAGAATGCCGGAACCGTTACTAGTTACCGGCCTCTTGTGGCTTGGTACGCCATGACACTTGAGGCGGGAACCAGCCAACGTGTCAATGCTGTTCTACGCGTTCTATCACGCACTGTGCCAAGTCACGCGAGAATAAGCGGTAAACAGCCGGTGCGTGTTCTGCTGGTTTAGCCGTGATATGTTATGATTTCAGTATTATTATACAGCTAAATATGAATAAATGCATCGATGACATGTGTTATTACAGGTGATCGGCGTCAAGTTTTGAGACAGACCCCCTCATCCAAACGGGACATGAAGACGTTATGTAAGAAACTGTTCTCTTGAGTAATTTCGAAACTATACAGCGCCACCAGTGTTTGTTCCCGGCTCTCTCCAAATCTATGCGTCCCGTGTTTATAAAAATTGACAATAAAGAAATCTGACTGGTCGTGAAGCTCTATGCGGATTTTAATTTAAATGTTGAATTTTAGCGATTAGTTCAAGTTCGGGCAGTGAAAGTCATTAATGAAAGTTGTTTGTTTAGAAAGCAAAATTGTAAATGTTGACGTACGGCATATTCTACATCAGTCTCATCAGTCTTGGTTTATGAAAACGCCATCTACGACAGACTCACGTACATACTGTGTGGTCAATACATGCACTGTAGCATGTGCTGCTCCACGACAGTGGCATTATTTAATGTCGAAAACTGCAACTTGGCAAAAAGTAGTTTGAAAAGTTAATGGTAAAAGTAGGCTTCATGTAATAGTCACACTACTCAAAAAGTTACACAAAACAAGAAAGATTGTGTTCATATTGAATTGCCATCACGATCTAGTTTGTTTTATTGCTGAACAAAACATATTTAGAATAAACTTATTAAACGCCTACATATGGAATTAGGATTTCTAGTTAAAATCATTGCCATTGATAATACAAAAAACTACATCGTATGAATGCATTTATTGCAGCAATGGGGGAGATACAAGTTATAAATGATTTGTGATTTAGATATTCTCTAAAAGTGAGTACGCATCATACTCATACACTCGTTTATTTACTATCTTTTTACATATATCGTTACTATTTCACCCTGTGCGAATCCCCCTTGATTCTGGCTGCTGGTAATTTTCGTTCATGAAATCGTCGGATATCACCAGAAAACGCGGGATTTGTGCAGTTTTGAATAAAACCAAATTAGCGATTATGAACAATGGTTATTTACGTAACACCTGATCCCCTCTAAATTTTTTGTTTCGTATTTTAAGGTAAGAAATCGACAGTTGAAACCGACAAGGTGTCGATTTACTTGGTGCCATGTTTCACAACTTGTTTATTTATATGCGTATAGAGGAAGATTAAACAAAAATTAGTATTCATTATTTTTCATGATCAGCCGCCAAATGACTGTGTTTAGAATCAACAACTTGCATGTTTAAGGTGGAGACTATAAACAGATATTACAAGAATTTTATAAATAGATTATTTACTTGTTGTATTTAGTAGAGACGCATCCCTGGTAATCACGTGATCGTGCCGACGACTGCAGCGATTGGCTGGTCGCATGGTTACTCTGTCACGCCTTAGAGATTTCAGTTTTAATATAGAGTTTGTAAACTTTTGTAAGGGGGTTAGAGAACGAGAGAACGGTGCAGCGAGGGGTTACCTCGGCTGACTGCTTGTGTGAATAAAGCTGGACTATCTGTAATGAACTAATGTGTATTCATTTGGGTCGAATCTGGTATCTCTACGTGTAAGTGACATCAGCCAAGCGAGACGAAGTTCCCTGGTCCCTGAACACAACGCTAGGGTTCATGACCTCGGGGTGTCTGGAACTTCTGCTGCAGATCATTATTAGGCTCCAACCTGTTGATCTGCACAATAAGTAACGTAAAACGTGAATTTATATTACAAGCATATATTTCTAAATGCAACAACACGATATAGATGGTACTGGGTACTGGGTTCTGTGTATACACGATATTTTTATTGTCCTTCACAGCAGCGGCATTTCTTTGTTGTTGAAAAGTTCTATCAAAGTTGATGCCCTCTCTGCTCGTTATTTCTGGACATACAGAATACAATAACGAACAATAGCTGTCGAGACGACAACCTTTTACGAGACATTTAATTCCACTTTGGCTATACAACATCGATAACAAGGAACCCCATACAAATAAAAAAAATAGAACATATCATCTTTCAAAACCTCTCCGCATGGGGCAAATTACTGTAGACGTACCTCTATTGTACTTCTACAAGAGCAGGCTGTGCCAGCTTCCACAAACTATTGTTGATGGACGAACCTTAACACAAGAACCAACTCAGTACATTTTGTAGAGATCTTACACTACATTTGGGTCTTGTTGCCATGGAAACAACAGTTTCAGAAAAACATTTTTGTTTTCATTATTGAATCAAAAATTTGCAAATGAACATTCATGAAATCCAAGGTTGCATGCTGGGGGATTATGTAAATAGAAATTTTGGCAATGATTTCATTTATAACTGTCCAAATGATAGATATTCACGGAAGGCGCCAATCGATAAGGAGTTGGTTGAGTTTCGGATATCGTTGCTATAGAATCAAAACATGTTTTCAATGATTATTCGTTGCCAGATAACTAAAGAGGTCAATGACAACAATTCTTTAGTTTTTCCATCAAACATAAACCAAGCAGCTGGAATTTAGAAATCTCGTTCCGGTTGCCATGGAGACAAATCTTTTCAAAATCAAGATCCTATGTGAGTAGGATATATGGGTAAGATAATGTCGAGGCATAAGAATGTATAATTTGCATTTATGGTAGAGGTTTACACTCTCACATTTATGTATGCAATCATTTTTGCATTCAAAATATACTTTAACGCGTTATTTGCATGATTACGCACAAGGGCGCAGCGATGTCTAGATAAATCCCACAATGCCCCACAAAGACGAGTCAATATCCGAAAAAATAGAACTAGGTTGAGTTATGGTCGGACATCCATGGATGATTTATCGCACCAACACCTAGTGTGATTTACGGACACACAATTAGATTGCCGTCTACACGACCCAGACGTATCCCTCAAAAGCTAAAATCAACTCGTATAGTGTCATATCGGTCGGTCGATAAATATACAATGACCCAACCTAAACCTCCGTCATCACCCCGCATACAGACAAAGACTAATTGTTGTGTCGTTAAATCTATTCCATTCATTCGCAATTTGGGTTGGTTGTATTCTCTACTACATAGAGTAAATAATACACAGACACAGTTCTGCCCCTGCATTTTTAATGCCATAGAAACCATAGAAACACACAATTAAAATAAATAAAATCTACACGCACGTGTCGTTAGTATCCAGAGTAACTTGCATAAACTTATTTCTGTCTCTGACGTTCACGATTATGGCAGAGTAATGTCGATGTCAAAAGTGAAACTCTACAAATACACAGAACAAGTTTTTAATAATGAATTTTAAATCATTCTTGTATAGACTATTATATTTGGACCCACTTATTGATTTGCAAAAAAAACAAACATACACACACAAATACAATCTTAATATTCATACTACTAAGTGGTCCTAACACAATTAATTCCTATGTATGTAGGGGGTATGATGTTACAGACTCGATAAAATGTCACAATGTTGTAGAAGTCCAAATATGTATTGTTCATATTCAGTTGCTTAACGCATTGCTTCTGTTCAACACAAAATGCTACTAAGTCTATGTGAAAATAATAGTATCATTTACTTTAGCATGATTGGCGCGTTCAATTATTAGCCAGTCTTATGAAGAATTGTGTGTGTATGTGTGTTTTATCTACATTCATTCACAAGATTTAAGAAAAAGATATGATTAAATGTAATGTGTCTCACAATGAGTATATAGAGCCATTGTCATGGGATTATGACTTACAGCCCGAGGCACAATTCCCGTATTTGGCTTTGTCCCATATCCCTGTTTTATCAAAACATAATAATATTGATTGCATATTAAATTCAGTCGTCAGTTAGTCATGAATCTGCACCGCGTCGCTGGTAATTACATTGCACCATGCCCGTGTAGCCATTCGTAATACCGAGATACACGTGTGTACACACCAGGGTTATTAGCCAGGGCACACCCATAACCCCAGCTGGTTATTCCAGCTAAATGCCATCGACTAATACCAGTGTTTTCATCTGTGTTAATACAGACCAACGGACCACCAGAATCACCCTGAAGTAGCAAACACAATAATAACAATATATTGAAATATCATATATATCGACTTTCAATCTTTTAATACCACGCTACACGCCACGTCACCAATCATAGTGCTCCACATCATAAATTTTACGAAAAGTGAACATTCCCTGATATTTGAGTAGTAAAATTCAATGCAAGTCGTTCGGAGAATTGAAAACATATACTCAGCAACATGGGCATAAAAACATAAGCGAATACATTATATATCAAACGTGATTTAGATGAAACACAATTTTAGAAAAAGAGGGATTTGTTTTAAATTGCTCCATGCATAGTAATTTTGTCAAATTAGTTACTAACAATTTCAGTGTTGATAGCAATGCATTAAAAAAGACAATGTCCATTACATACCTGACACGAATCGATACCACCGGCAATGTAACCAGCACACATCATATTATCAGTTACCGAAGATTCTCCATTAAGAATTCTACAAATATCATCGGGAAGTATAGGAACATATGCTTTCTGCAGAATATTGGGTAGAGACCCACCCTCTGAAATGATAACATAATCAAATATAAGGCAATATACTAGTAAGTAACACCGGTGAAGATCAACAATATCAGTTTAACCAATAGAACATTTTCCGTTCACTGCCAGATCCCGTGTTATGCGTCACATCGAACTTAAAAACAGGACAAAAAAGGTCATAGCTGTAGAATATCACTCCCAGGCTCTGTAATATACCAGGTCGTCGCTCTTACTGCTATAAACTAGAGGACTCAAATCAGAATTGAATCGTTACACGGAAGGAGACTTTATTTACCAAAACTCACAACGAGGCTGTACCCAGCATGCAATACGCTTAGGCAAACTCAATACATTACATCCTTCCTTTTCTTGAATGAAAAGCACATATGTACTATGTTTGGCTTAAAGATATGTTAGAAACCAGTTCACATATTTTGTTACATAAAGTACAGAAAACTATCAGAAACATAACATCAACGTTTAAATAAATTCCAAAACAGTAAATTATTGTATCACAGTGTTCATCGAACTAAATATTGCTTTGCTATCAGTTCATGATGAAATCGGTAAACGTTGATGGTATTTTCTTCAGCCTTTCTGATTTTCTGACGTCTGGTTGTGGTAATGAAGATTGTGTGACTGAATCTGTTGTTTGTTCATCAGGAATAGAATCTAGTGACGCCTTGATATCACAAGGAAACCTCAATATTTCTATCTGTGGCTCTGCTGCGGTGTCACTTACACTCTTCCCATTTCCACTGGATTCATCTGATATATATTTTCTAACGTGTGTGGTATTTCTGGAATACTGAACACCACAGGGTGACTCAAGAATAATACTATTGCCCGATTTACTGTCAATTGTATGAGGTACTTTATTGAATGGGGTTGAGAACTTGTTGACTTTCTCCTGCTTGAGTAGAACTTTATCCCCAACTTCAACATTTGAATATTGGGCATTTCGGCGATCATCAGCATATAATTTGGCTCAGCCCTTCTGCTCAGCATCTTGATTGCGGAATCCCAAATCATTATGATCATCCATATTGAAATCTGGCAAATTGCCTGAACAAAAGTTCAGCAAGGGGAGCATGGTCAATACATCTGTATTTAGTTACATATCTTCGGAGTTCTTTTCTCCAGTTCAACCCTTCTGCATGTGCAATGCAGATTCTCTTCATCAGTGACTTATTTTGGCGCTGAACTTCTCCATTTGCCAGGGCCCATCTTGCAGTTACATTTAGAACTCCATTGTGTTCACAGTACTCTCGAAATTCATCGGACTTAAACTGTGGATCATTGTCTGATTTGATTGTTCTGGGAAGTCCATGTCGACTGAAGATCCTTTCCAGGCTGTCAATCAGTTTCTCTGTTACAGTCGAAGTCAAAATATCATATTCATAATAGCGGCTGTAGTAGTTTACTACGACTAATATAGAATGTCCACTTGGAAATGGTCCAAGCAAGTCAATCACAATATCCTGCCATGGCCCCTCAGGGAGCTTTGTAGGTTTCCGTGGTTCTGGCGGATCTGGACGTGCCACTAATTGACAACCATGCTACGCCCTACAATACTTCTCTGCTGCCTTGTCAATAACAGGCCACCATACTTTACTACTGAGATTTTGTTTTGTTCCGACAACTCCCGGATTTTCTTCATTGGCTAAAGCTAATGTTCGAGGTCTTAAAGTGTTTGGTATTACAATACGAGTGCCCCTGAGTACAAGCTTTCCAATTATACACAGTTCACCAGCTACCAGTGCAAATTGTTTACATTTCTCGTCAGCTCGTCATCAGAGAATGTCTTTTCCACTTCTTGTGTGGTCAGTGCTTTGGGTGTCGCGTTAACGGCTACAAATCGTACGTACTCTTCAGCATCATGTTGATGTGCACTACTGTTTTCATTGCTATCCAGTAGCCGTGATAAAGGGTCAGCTATGTTCTTGTGTCCCGGAATATAAACTACTCTGAAATCCTAAGGTTGCAAAAGAAGCACCCATCTTTCTATTCGAGCACATGGCTTAGATCTGGGACCATATATCGTTTCTAATGGACAATGATCCGTTACAAGGTCAAAGTTCATGCCATATATGCATGCATGAAATCTTTCACATGCCCATACCAATCCCAATGCTTCTCGTTCAGTCTGGGAATATCTGCGTTCACAATCTGTCAAGCTACGGCTAGCATAGCACACTGGTACCAGTTCACCTGCTTGTTCTTGCACCAGTACCGCTCCCAGCCTGACTGGACTAGCGTCTGCTATCACTTTTGTTGGTGCATCCTTAGCAAAATAATATTGCTGGTGGCACCAGAATCTACCATCATTTTAAACTAACACCACCAACACAAATTACAAGCATATTTGATCTATCACTGCCTAATATAGTAATCTGTACCTCCCCAATTTGATTTACATGT